CTACCACAAAACACCTTTTGATTATTGATATGGACAAATTTTTGCCATCTTTTTCTTAAACCGAACTTTGTCAACAAACGCATCGACCTCGTACACCTTACCAGACATAACCCTTAGAGTCTTAGAGCGTTTTACATAAATCCTCGACGGGAGGAGTTGATCCACCTCCGGAAACGTTATGCAGTTTTAAATACAAGACACGTTGGAAAAGCCTAATTAAATAATAGTAACATATCATAACCAAGGTCATTAAGAATTTTAACTAATGAATTATTCCTAACTATTTCTAACTCAAAAATCTGCTGAAACAAAAAACATATATGTGTGTCTAGACTGAGCGGTGTGAAGATGCAGTTGGCAAAAGGCAAGTGAAAGTTATGACACATGCAGGTCTGCATTCTGACTACTTTCTGTAACTCAACCAACTTTTACTGAGAAAACAGGGAAGGTCTCGTAGAAGGAAGCTGAAATAGTCTACATAGCACAGCTTTGACTAAGTAGGGCTTATGAACAAATTGTTTGGTTGTTAGATGCCTTGTGTGCATTTTTACCGACATACTCTCGAGAGCATTAATTGCAGCCCAAAGCACGTAATTAATTAACATTTATGACACAATTTAATATATAATTCTACTTTTTAAAGGTCAAAACCCTTAACAAAAGTCAAATATCAAAATTACCCCTTTATCAGCAACTAGACAAGGGAATAAAGTAGGCCTACCTACTTATTCAATTGGCTTTTATATCAGGCTTTAAGTAATTGTACAATTAATAGTTGTTGCTGGTCAGGAACAAAGCTGTCTAAGGCATCTTTTATACTCTCATCTCTGATCTTATATTAATTGACTTAAATTACACCAAAATTTTATTTGACTTTGAAGACATTCTATCTTCATTTATTCTCATTATCTCAGGTATTCTTATGTATCCAAATTAATTTATGAGGGCCTAGGTAAATAGCCAAAAGCTAAAAATTAGAATAAAATCTATTCCTCGTTAAAATTAACTTCTTTATCCAATCTAAGGTAAAAAATTAAATAGATGATGAAAATCACCCTGGCAAATCGCAGAATGCATGAGAGACAAGTTATAAGTTCTAAGAATTAATACTATAAAAACAAATACAATCTGTAAATTGGTTTCGAAAGACACAAAAGGTACAACTTGATAACGAGATCCTAGTTGGGTTATCCACATAAAGAAAAGTACTTGGTTGTATCAGACAGACCATAGATGGACAATCCACTTTCACCCCACTTGGCTCTCACAGTCTCTCACTGGTTGTCGTCTTATCAAATCAATCTACCTGGCAAATGCTGGTTATCAGTTGCTACAAAACAAACATGGCTGCACAGATTCTAGTTATTTTCAGAAAACTCTTTCTCATCTGAACAGTTTGAGGTCTTGTATATAAGTAGTAGGTTTACCCAACTAATATTGATTATATACAAATTAGGCCTAAACTGACAAATAACTACTGACAACGCTAACTTAAATTTGCCGTAAAATGGAATGAAACTAAATTAGCAGGCTAGTGTTTTCTAAAAAGTGTTAGGGCCTAGGCCTACTGAATTTTTTCACAATTAATTGTTCCATCTTAAGAAGGATAAAAAAAAAACTAAAACTAGGGAACCCATACTGAATTAAGTATTGAAATATTAAATATTGCGTTGAAAATCTTATCCGAGAAATAATTAAATTTATGATTTTTGATTGAGTAATACAGTAGCCTATCTTGAAAATACTACTTTTCTACATAGTCAACCAAACAAATTGAAGCACGTCATAGCAATGGACGATATCTGAAGTTCCTTTTCCTAACTCCTGATAAAAAAGTAGGCCTAGTAACTATTTTTTATGACAGCTGACATCAATGAAAATAATTGTTTCCCAAGCTTTAATTTAGAGCAAAGAAAAAACATAGATCTCAATTTACCCACTACGCAAGTGATTTTTAACCTTTTATTTTCATAATTTAAATCAGCTGTTTTCATTGTTGAATTAACTGCAACTAGCTGTTACCCACGGGCTTCACCCCGTTTGACTTTATAAGTATTAATAAAACTATTGATTGGTTAAGTTAACCTGAAATTAACAAAATGAAGTGAAACAAACAAATAATCACACCTGATTTTAATAAGGTAGGCCTACCTAATAAATTTAAAGAATAACAAACAAATAAGTACAGCTGAGGTATTTTTAACATTGGGTATATGGAAAGTTCCCTTTAGAAAGGAATTACGACCTTAAAGGGCAATTTATGAAATAATGGATAGTTTTTCGCAAGGTTTCTCATCATGACGAACATTTTAAGTACCGGTAGGGCCTAGGCCTATATGGTTTATGGGGATGTGACTTGTAGTTTTCTCAAAAGTTCATGGGTACTGTACTTTTGGCTTGATATATATAGATGTAATGAAAATAATATTGTCGTAGAATTTTACCAATGTGTTAGACCTACTCTGTGACATGAAACTGGATCTCCTCATCGTCATCAAAGTTTGGTAATGCTGTTAATCAAGTCTTAGTTATTTATGTATATATTTATCTGTTGAACACCAACGGCAAACACCATTTTACATTAGTAAAAGCTACAGATAGCCAAAAATAATGAAAATTAAGCTGTCAATACAGTTGTGTTCATAATGTGCGACTCTTCTTTATGCACATTAAAATTAAAGTCACTCAAAGGAAGGTTCAGACTGTAGGATAGTTGAGGGAAAATCTCATATTTGAATTTAAGGAAATCTTGTGTGCAATTTGCCGTTTCAGATCAGGTATCAAAAATTTGCAAAAGCAAAATTTGAAAATTAATTTTATAGGTCGGCCGCTTAGAAAACGACCTCCTCCAGCATTGGTTTACCATTAGCGCGCAGGTCGTTGTCTAAGCGGCCGAACTATAGTTTGGTTATTTTAAAACTTAATAGGCTACACCACTTCCAGATAGAACTTTATTTATTAGCCTATAATTGTCTCTGTACAATTCATAAAAAATAACAGTTATGCCTAGGCTATTTTTTTGGCCTAGGTAGCTTGTTGATGTTTCAAAACTGGACCCTCATCATTCCTTGATCATTCATTGATGAGGTTCCTCATCATTGGGCTTTAAATAAATGATACTGCTACTAATGAAACGGCTAAATAATCTTAGACAGAAACAAAGCTAGAAACAGATCATCTCTCACCATTCTACACTCATCCTTCTCACTGCAGGACGCTAATCCCGGGATTTATAGATATCGAAAACCGACTTATAAAACTTATAAAAATGTATGACTAAGATTACCTATAAAACTTTAGATATTTTACAGCACGCTGCAGCGGTTATGTTCTAGGTTGGGCTATAATGAATATGTTTGTAAGACTTGCCTCGTTTTGGTATGAATCAAACGATACCAGATTCGAGTCATAAAAATTATGATAACTTAGAAACCTAACTTAACGGCCACAGCGCGCTGTATAAAGGTGGGCTCCGTACAATACGAAAGTAAGGCCTAGCAGTTATTTTGTCATTTGTTAGCTTTTCTTGGACAGAAAAAATGCAGCTCAACATACAACATCAGCAACTATAGGTACTACATATTTGTATCCTTTATTCATAGGCAGAGGAGGGTACACTTCCATATCTGTTGGCACAAACAACGGAATGAAAATATCTATCAATATATCGATTACCTATTCGATATATCGTTTGGATAGTTAACTTAGGTAAGGTTAACCTAACCTATCCATGATATATCGAATTAAAGAATCGAATAGGCCTACCGTAATCAATATTAGCCTACTCATTAGGTTGTTTGTGCCAACAGATATGGAAGTGTACCCGTAGAGGATATACGTGTCCGGTAACCGGACTTGAATTAGGTGTCCGGCAGTTAGGCACTGTCATAAACCTAACCTAAGTTAAGTAACCAAACTTGCTGATACATAATGAAAAAATCAAATGAAGGTTTTAATTCTGTTTATAAAATAAAATTATGAAACCCTCAAACGTTAACAAAAGACGTACAGTTAAGAAGAAATGGCATTCTAAGCAAAATCTTTGACAAAAAGTTAGTGGCACTGATGGGATTTGATTTAAGTTAGGCCTAGATAAGTTAAGTTAGGCTACGCTAATTTTTGCACATTAGCCGAGTACTCTATCCACTACACCACGAACACCGATGGCTGTAAGTTACATTGTATCGTTGTGAAAATGGTGTTCCGGGCCCCCACAACCCCGAGACTTCAATGCTGGATGCCTAATCCACATTCGATTACCGGATGCATACTCTGTGTCTAGGCCTATCATTTAAGCTTCATAAACTTAACTAACCTGAGTTAAATGCCGCTACACATTGTAGGCATAGGCCTAAGAAATGAAATGAAACGAAATGAAATGCTTTGAAATGAAATGAAATGTTTGATTTCCGTGAACATGATACATGTATGGAAAAAGTCAAATAAACTAAAACTAGGTTAGAGTACTAAAAAAAATTGCAAAAATTACATGATTTGTTTGTTCCTAAGAGTGGCGTGTGACATTTTAACTTAGGCCTAGGCCTAAACTTACCCTAGGCTACTTCAAAAGCCCTGTAACTTAAGCAGAAAATCATTAAGTTATTTAAACTGATTTTACTAACTTTAATTGAAAAGGCCTAACTTAACTTTAGTTTTAGAAACTAATATTTCGTCCGATAAGTTAATAGGCTACCTATTTATCGTAGAACCTTATGCGGAACTCTACTTGGGGATAAGTTAACTGCAGTTTAACCTTTAAGTTAATCGACATTATGCAGCAAGTGCCTAGGTCTAGGCTACAGTACTTTCATTCTGAAATTGAATATATTTATAAAAATAGGTTAGTTTAATAGATGAGCAGGCGGTACTGTATTGTAATGTTGTGATTTTGCCAAAATTTGGGCTAGGAGTGCTAGAACCTAAGTTAGGTCTAAAAGGACTACAAATAAACATATAACTTAAAAGTTATATAGCCTAAATAGATCAATTTATATACTTACAGAACATATGACTAGAATGAATTAATTACGAAGAGTCACAACTTTATTCTGGAATCACTAATCCAACAATGAAACAACTTTTGATATTATCACCTAGGGCCTATATCCTAGCTGGCACTTGTCACTTCGGTACACTTTCAACAAAGCCGAGATGAACTTCTTATATCACAGGGACAAAACGCTTAAATAAGTACAAAAATCAACATAATATGATAAACGCCCGAGTGTTTTATTCAACTTTTAACAAAAGATATATTACAAAACCAACACATAGGAGTGTTATTTATTTTAAGATAATTTTTACTCTACACACAAAACAACAGCAGTCAACAACCCGAAACGAAACTCACCGGTTTTGCACTCGCCAGGTGGCATTCACATCGCGATTGGACAAAGAGGTAGACGTACTAGAACAATCATATACAACATGTAACCAAAGAATATATATATTTATAATTACAGTATAATATTATACATCAGATTCTGCATTCATTTAAGAATAGTGGGATTCCACTGTCAACCACAGGAGCAGAGATAATGTTTTACTGTATTAAAATATATGAACTATCTCCTATTAAGCTCTAAAGGTAATCAAAAGTGTTATCTTACTACTTAGTCAATTGTTAAAGCTATTAAATTCTTGTATTATTATTGCGCAAAGTTTTGTTAGTATGCACCAAATAGAATATAAATGCTGTCGTAGTGTCGTATTTAGAGTGTTGTACGCACGGCCACCTCTAACTACTGGCACGGCCATCTTTAACTACAGGCACAGCCACCTTTAACTACAGGCACGTTATATTATCTGTGCTACAGGTCGCGGCCTGGTAGAATTGGCAACGTCACAAGTGGTGTTGTTTAGTGACAGACGTCCCATAAGATAACATGGCAGACAGGTTACATCAGCTCATTAATTCGCACTTTATTGATTTAAATTTATGAACATAAACTTATTAAAATATTGAAAATAAAACATACAGAATTGAAAACCGAAACAATATGGATTAAAAATCTATATCTGTACATTTTAAGCGGAGTCAATATTGTCATAGTCCAGTAACCAATCTTTCGTAAATGCACAATTCCATTAGCTGATTTCAAACAGCTGTTACAACCCTAATTGCAACGGCCCCACTTCGAACGCCGCGGCCAGGAGTTAAAGGCGGCCGTGCGTACAACACTCCAACACTTTAATCTAAATGTTTTGTTGAAGGAATATGCCACAGTAAATACGAAAAAAATGCCTGATTTTTGTTACGTAAAGAATATAGAAAGCACACTCTCCCTTTTAGTAGATGCATCCGGACTTACCAACACGAGGTGACTTCTTCTCCTATTGTAAATTTTGAGGCTCAATTTTCGTGTCTGTTCATGTCTGGTGACACTGATCACTATAGTGTCAAGTGTCGACGTAATTTTGTTCCTATTATTTTAGGGTTAATTTTATGATTTGTGCTTTACTGTTTATGGTTTATACAGTATAACTAGATGACGAGTTATTGTTAATGATTACTGATTAGATTACTGTATTTGGTTAAATGCGGGTTTAAATGACTGTAAACAATATAATAATTAAGGAACCAATTGTAAACAAAACACGCCTACATAGTGCAGGGGCGGAACCAACCAACAATACAATTTTGTCTTCAGCTGATCCATAAGGATATCATCAGTTTTATCACGGCCACCTTTGAGTTATGACCCAGTTTAGACTGTTTGTACGTACCATTAATTATCGGCTGGGAAGCCGGAAGCCAAGGGGAGTTAAGTGCTCACCTATTACCGTAATAAAAAGGTTGCCGGTTCGATCCTGAGAAAAGTCAGTAGCTTTTTGATGGTTAGAAACTGGACCCAGCTGTTTCCTGATCGAAACAGCTGGAGCTGACTGATCTTCTCTTATTCGGTAACAGTAACGCTACACACAACCATTATTCTACTACACTTATTCTTCACTCATATTTGGGTTATACATACCGGTACGCATTTAGGGGGGGACCCCCTCCCAATAATAAATAGAAAAAATTGACCTCTATGTGGTACCATCGGGGTATTTACTGGATATCATAGATGGGTAACTGAAAATATGGTTATTGATCACCCTTCATCTAGGAGCTCAATAAATAGTTAGGTACTGGCTTTGCTGTTGAATCCTCTCTCTTAGAAACCATTTTGGGATGTATTAACAGTTTAATTTCCACTGTCTCCAGTGACATAATTAGGAAATTTACTCCTAATATTGAAAGAAATCTTAAAGGTGTTGACCAATGTTTATCAAATAAAGCCTTTAACCATGGGTCCCATTGAGAGTGAAGTCACTTAGGCCCAGTTGTAAGGATAGCATGTGATAATCACCTATGTGCCCAAAAGGCAATTTGGTCAATTTATTAAAAATAGTCTCCACAAACTATTAAGTTAAAGTCCTTTTTTAAATTTTTGTCAAGATAGCATGAAGTGACATTTTTATTATTGATAACACCTTCAAAACCTTACAACTGACCTTTAAAAATGACAGTTGTGAATTCTCTGTAAACTGAATGAATTGGTAGTAATTGTGACCTACAGGATTGATTTATTTAGTATCTTATATAACTTAGAGTTAATCATATACTACCACAAAGTCTTCTTTCTACATCAATTAATTCCATAATGACCCCACTGCATCAAACCTACAGACTAAGCAAATTTCCATTAGTGTGACTTTATTTTTAATTGCATTTAATTCAATAACATTAGGTTTAACGAGCACCTAGGTTTGTTGCAACAGGGAGGGTAACAAAGTGCGTTTTTAGGAAAATTTTATTAGCTAACAGTAAAAAATGAATTAATCTGCCAAGTTTGATAAAAATATATCCATAAACAAGCAAATTACAACAGCTTACTTATCCTAAATATTATGAGTGAGTTTGGCTGTATGTATGTATGGATACAAGTAAATGCGAAAAATACTAAACCGACAAGGTTGAAATTTGGTATGATGATAGCTGACATTCCCAATTAACATATAGGCATATTCTTACCTCAAAAATCCTTTCAGGCTCCGCCCCAGTGGCTCTGGGGTTTCTCCCTTATGAGTATTCATATTTAAAAGGAATTGAAGGATTTTGTCAATTGTTTCAACGTTTCAACTGCACAAGTTAGTTCTATGGTATTAAATAGCATTAAAAAGTTTTAAGGCATACCAACGGGGTGCAGAACTATTATTTTTTGCATTTATCACAACACCTAGTTTGAACCAAATAGCAACAAAAAGCTGTGGTACACAAAATGAGAACTTTATTTTTTTCTATGGTTCAGGTGCGGTGGTAGAGCAGTATAGCTATGGTAGATGTGCTAAACTATAGCATACGTGATACGTATAAATTAAAAGAACCAAATTTTGAAAAACCATGTCCTCTCCCATAACTGCAATAAGCATTTTATACTAATTTGTCAACCCCGGGTACTCTGCTAGTTCTCCATAAGAATAATATGGGAATTTTAAATTTACAATTTTTCAAATTATCTCTGCAACCGTTGGGCATACATAAACGCTTTAATGTACAAACTTATTTCTTTTTTTAAGCTCTACCAAAATGGTTTAAAGAGAAATTATGAAATTTTGTGTTTTTAGCGTAAAAAAGGGGAGAAATCCATTTTCACCCCATAAAACCCCATTCCAAATGGTCCGCTTATGCTGGTTCACGAACTTGTTCTAATAAATGTAAATTTACATGTTTGTACCATATTTCATCAAAATCGGATCATTTTTGCTCGAGTTATCGCACTAGCGGACACACACACACACACACATATATATATCCTATATATGAATTTGAACGGATGGTGTTTTTGGTCTGTGGGGACCTTAAAAACGAAAAAGTAAATCGGTCCTGGGTCTAGGTCTTACCATGAGACCCTACGGTAATAGCTTATTCCCTATATAGGAAATTCGCTAAAAGCCAAAATTAGTTGGTAAATAAACGTGAGTTTCCTCCTTTATATTGCTTTTACATTCAAAATAAACTACACCGAGCTATGCTCGGTCCCCAGGTACTTTTTGTCTAAATAAGAAATAGAACATTTTCATTCTGTATATTGCTTTAAATAAAAGCAGTTATGTACTATTCTTTTTAAACTGCTATTGTTCTTAACAAGATTGAGTAGTACGGTATAGACTTAATTAATTTTTAAGTGAGTGAAAATTTAAAAACGTACGTTTTCAGGAAAAGCACTTTGCAAATTTTTTTCCCCTTTTTTCAAAACTTTTATTATTATTTTTATTTCATTAACATTTTAAGTTTCATAAAATGTCCATGGTAACGCAATATCTTTGGTAGTTTTCTTTTTAAAGAGCATCTTTAGTAGAAAAACACAAAATCCTGTCACGACCATAACGGACGTTTAAATGAATATTAAAAATAGTTAATATTATTTTTATAACTATGTTTTGCTATAAACTAATTTACTTTTATGACCATTATACAATAAAAAGGTCACTGAGCTTTTGGTATATTTGGTCTTTCTAGAAAAAAATTTAAAAAACTCAAAAAATAGAAAAAAGCCAATAAAATCTTTTTAAGTTTGTATAACTCCGAAAAAACTTACCTGAGACCCGAAAAATCGTTATGTTTGTATAGAGGTGTGCTTCTTTTGTGTATAAAACATTAAAATATGACGATATTTTAATTTTTGAAATTTTATGATAGAAATCATAAACGTGATGGTCAGGGACAAGCGGTACGGTCGTGAATTGTCTGGAATAATCTAAATCTTTCCAAACAATCCTTCAATTATACTGTTAGTTATAATAAAACTATGTGTTTCAATTGAACTAAACTGTTCAATTTACAATTATATTAAAGTTATTGTCACGACCAAACACACTATAATCCATAAGGCTGGATTGGTCGTGAAAAAAACCGCGATGGTCGTGAAACTTTGGTCGTGAAATTACGTGTTATTTGGCTCTGTTCTGGTGGTAGCCCTGCACCTCATGTTCGAGGATACAAAGTGGACTTCTAGGTTGATCTAGCAATTGAAATATCTTATAAACAAAAATTAACACCATGTCTACTTCATCGAATGACTATATACGGTCATGGACACACCAAAATTACAAAAAACACAATCTTTCCTTTATTAATCTTGTAATGCCTCCTTTCAACTCAAAACGACCGGCACTACAATCCTGACGTACACCCCAAACTAGTGTCTAAAACCAACTGACTCCATCGACGCCAGGCTTGCCACTGTCGTGCTCCAAAGTTGAAAATTTTTCCCAAATGGTCGTGACGCCAAATCGAGGGACAGACTTATTTTGTCATGGTAGTCAGTCTGCAATGACAATAAAATTATAATATACTCCTTTTTTGTAAGTTTAATAACCATTGATGACATAAAAATATGGCTTTATATATTTCGGCATGAATAATTAGTCTAAAAACAGCGTGAAAGTTGGAAAATGTACCCTAGGGACACGTCATGGTCGTGAATTTCGAGACTTTAAAAATACGAAAAAAATACCTAGAACCTATTTAAAACTAAATAAATGTGTGTAACATGCTACCCCCGTCCCAAAAAATATTAAAACACATAATAATAAACTACAAATCCAGTGTCTACGAAGTAAAAGGCCAGGGACATGAAAACGTACGTTTTTAAATTTTCACTCAAGTAATATCTGCTAAAATGCCAATATAAACCATTTTTTTTTGGTCCTGCTACACAAAATTCACTTTAGCTGAAATATTGATTTTAGGTAGGCTTAATCAATAACATTTGTTTAAAATAATTAGATGGGTTTCAAAACATTACAAATAATAGACTATTCTAAAGGGAAAAACCAAAAATGCTGTTACAAACTCAAATATATTTACTAATTACACAATATTCACAAAAGTAGTTAATTAATGTTAATGGGCCAAAACATGTCTTCCTTTCAAATATCTTCGCATAATTATCGCTCTACCAGCAGGAGTTTTCATTCTGTTCCAAAAGTTCATCTTTTGCCTTTTTTTCTCGCTAGGTCGAGGCCAGTTGTTTCTAATCTTTTTGTGTAGGCATGTGCGGATGAACGTAAGAGACCAAGCAGAAGATGCAATATTACTGGCACTAGGTACGATGGATGTTGTACCTGGGCTTGTAACGGAGTGGAAACTGTTCTGACCACATGGCGATCCAACAAAGTATTGAGCCCTGAAACATAGTTCCAAAGTTTCTTAGTTATTGGGCTTAAATTAGTGATGTAGAATTGTTTAAATCACGGTATTGTTTTTTTCTCAAAATAAATCTAATAAGGATAAATCATTTGATTTCCAATACAAAGCTTACCCTACAGTTTATTACAATATTTTTGGAAATAATACAGACCACTTACTTTGCAAGATGTGTGAAACAATTCCTTACTGTCTAAAAAACAAACAGCCTAGCTCAACTATAAAACTAATAGAATACATCACAGTTGCTCTCTGTGATGTTTGCTACAAGAAACTGTTTGTTCTAAATTAAACAGTAAAACAAAACAACCTTCAACAATATAACTAGGGCCGATTAAATATAAAAATAAAACATATAATTTTTGGGAATCATAGGGTTAAAAATCTAACTATATATATTTTAGGCGGCTCGTGTTTTATCCGATACAATGGTAAGCATTCTCGCACTGGAAAATTTAGGACTAGCCTACACCACTGGTTAAAATCTACCTTGCTATACAGGGTGAATAAAAGTCAAGACCCCCCCCTCTAATATTTTTCCAAGTAAATATACAGAGATATCCTTTTGGTGGTCGTGCAAGCTTAGCAGGAAGTTTCATTTGATGATTTTGAAATTTGTGAGAGTCCCCCCAAAAGGGGTTATTTGGGGGGTAACTCAAATATTTTAAATGTAAACCCCCTTCAAGTGACACCTCATTTTGAAGTGTTTACAAAAACTTATAATGGTGAAAACTAGAGGTCGCTATCTGTTCTCTATCCAAAATGGTAGCCCGTCAAATGTTGTAGAAAATCAATGGTAAAATTGGTTCGTAATGGTAATATTGGCTACCATTTTGGATAGAGAAGAGATAGCGAACTCTGTTTTTCACTATTCTTTAAGTTTTTGTAACCTCTTCAAAATGAGGTGTAACTTGATGGGGGTTTACATTGAAAACATTTTAGTTGCCCCCAAAATCCCCCCTTTTGGGGGGACACTCCAAAATTTTAAATGTAAACCCCCATTTTTTGATACTTTGTTTTGAAGTGTTTACAAAAACTTAAAAAATGGTGAAAACTAGAGGTCGCTATCTCTTTTCTAACCAAAATGGTAGCCAATATAATAATTTGTAACCTCTTCAAAATGAGGTGTCACTTGATGGGGGTTTACATTGAAAACATTTTAGTTGCCCCCAAAATCCCCCCTTTTGGGGGGACACTCCAAAATTTTAAATGTAAACCCCCATTTTTTGATACTTTGTTTTGAAGTGTTTACAAAAACTTAAAAAATTGTGAAAACTAGAGGTCGCTATCTCTTTTCTAACCAAAATGGTAGCCAATATTACTATTACGAACCAATTTTACCATTGATTTTCTACAACATTTGACGGGCTACCATTTTGGATAGAAAAGAGATAGCGACCTCTAGTTTTCACCATTCTTTAAGTTTTTATAAACACTTCAAAATGAGGTGTCACTTGAAGGGGGTTAACATTTAAAATATTTGAGTTACCCCCCAAATCCCCCCTTTTGGGGGGACACTTAAAAATTTCAAAATCATAAAATGAAACTTCCTGCTAAGATTGAACAACCACCAAAAGGATATCTCTGTATATTTAATGGGAAAAATATTAAAGGGGGGGGTCTTGACTTTTTATTCACCCTGTATGTCCGTGGTTTGATTGTGATATGCTATGGGCCCCGAGAGATTTTTGCGTCCCTCTCTACCTACCTTGTGGGGGTTGCGCCCCAGACAAACCTAAAAACTCTCTTGGGCCCGGACCCAATTCTTCCTTGCTAATGACATTAGCCAGCAATCAAATTTCTTTAACATCTTTAATAATATACAGTCTGTCATTCCTACATTTGAAAACTTATTCCAATTTATTAAGTTTTGGAAAAATCTGACGTGTACTACTGGTGGTACATGCAGTGATCCCCAAAACTTTGACGTGCGCCACGGGTGGTCACGGTTACTATGGTGATTGTACGCAACAAAATTACAGAGTCTTTGTGAGTGTTTTTACTATGTCTTGTTTGTAGAAGCTACATGAAACGTATCCACGGGAATATATAAACCAAATTCAGGTTACATTAATAATAAAACACCAAGTTACAAAAAAATTGGTTTATTTATTTCAACAAAATAACTTTTTTTTAATATAAAAAATTACCGGTAACTAAAAAGTCATTTTTACTACTTAAAGTCTGTTTTTTCAAAGTTAATGGATTGTAGGCCTACTTGTTTTCAACATGATGACAGGTCAACGTGTACCATGGGTGGTACACGTTTTAATTAGCATAATTAATTGTTATCTGGTTTTGTTACTGAACCTGCACAAGTAGTGTTACAGTTGATAAATAATTAATTGTATCTAATTATTCCTAAAAACCCACTTTGGTTGTTTTAAGTCTATGGTAATTTGTACACAAATTTACTTTAGACTAAATTCTCATTTGTGCACGACCGGTGGCCTCATCGGAGCGAACGTGTTAAGTAGGCTACCAGCTGATCTTTTATTTTGAAAGGTCCAGTCTTACCCAAGCAAGCTTGTTCGAATCTGACACCAGCACCCTGGGCTTTACTTGGACTCTCATTGCTGGTCACAGCTTATATGTTTAGGATATGATGGAAAATCAACACTCAGACTGCTAAGTATGAATCGTTTTCTGTAATTAGACTTTTCAGTATTATGAGTGATCAACCTTTGTTACTGTCCATCATCATCCAACTGATGTGAACAAAAAATAGCTGAACATATAATGTGTGATGGGTAGTGGAAGTTTAGAGACAGTCATATAAACATTTGCATGATTTATGCTGACAGGTCATTGATCAGTTTTGTTTAATGCGGTGAACAAAATTTAAGGGAATTTTTGTATGAGGTTCACATAGTGATTGCAGGAAATATTGCCGAGCTAACACTAGGAAGGACAGTGGTAAATCCTGGTGGTCTCGAACAAACCAAGGCACATGAAAAGTTTTGACGATTGAAATCACTATCTTAGGCCAGGGACACACTTACCAGCGAAACTGCCGGACACCGGATCTTGCGGAGCCGGAGAAAGTTGAGATACACAGGAAGGCATGGGGAAAGCCACACTTCTCCGGTTCGGCAAAACCGCTGGTCCAGCAGGAAAATGCTCCGGCAAAACCGCCGGATATTCTCTACTTCGCCGGACTGCCAGATCGGCGGTTTCGCCGGCCCAGCGGGTAGCGGGGCATTGTGTTATGGAGATGATGAACACACATACAGCCGGACCTGCCCCTATCCCCACTCTTCAGTCGTGGTTCAACCCTTTAAGGGTGGTGGTTGTTTTTTTTATTTTAGCGCAGTGTCTAAGTGGTGTATTAAGTTTTGTTTTGTTATTTAGTTAATTTACTTTTTTTTAGTCTGTTTAGTTTTCTATATCATCATGGTCGATATAGATATGGATTTACTTATTAGTTTGGTTCATGAGAAACCAGAACTTTGGGATAGATCTTTGGAAATTTACAATGACAAAAACAAAACGAATCTGGGAAGCGTATACAGGTGCCTGATTCTGGTGAAGATAATAGTACGGTACCGGTAGTAATTTATATTCGCCATATTCTGATGTCGGGGTTTAGTTTATTTGATACCACTCGCTTTTATTTATCGTCTCATGTTTGGCCTTCTCTCACATACTCTTTATTACGTACTCTTGTATTTGCACTTTAATCTTCGATAATAGCTCGACGAATGAGGGGACAGACATTCAAAAATAATTAAGAACTTATTTTGGCCATTCCTCAACAGTAAAAATAGAGTATAAAATGCTCCATGGAGCTGTCTGTTCATTTGTAGTCCTGTGTTCTCCAGAATCGGATGAACCCAAATTCTTCGGCGGTGTTTTCTCTTCCCTCTGTGGTAGATCAAACACAGCACGGCCAAGTTTTGAGGTCTTGACAGCACCATTTCTAAGACACAACTGATTCAGAGTTCATTGCACTCTATTAATGTCGCCGGCTCCGGCAAAATAGTTTTTGCCGGGACAAGTGTATTCTGACCCTCAACCTCCGGCGGTTCCGGTAAGTGTGTCCCTGGCCTTAGTTCAAATTTATTGATGCTCCCTGCCACCTTGTTTGAAAACAATGCGTATGTCCTTCTGTGATCTCTTTTAAGTCGAACCCCTTAGTTTTAGCAAACACAACTGTCAACTAGCAAATAGAGTTAAATTGTGATTGACTCTATCCCATAGAAAACTACCTAATCATGGAATTCTATTCAAACTTTTCAAGAGCGTCAATTTTCCCCTACATTGTTTATCAACCACAACTACTAATAACTCACAAGAAGGTAAACTACTACTAATAATCACATAGGTGCGGGAAGTACCAACTCATTTAATCATAGTCGTGGGGGAAGAAGGCCTACGGTACACGACTGGCATCAAATTTGAACTGGTTCGCTTGTCTTTGTACCTGGAGCACTGTGGAGACTTTAACCTTCCAGAGGTCACATCACGGAAGTAACCTCCATGAATGTTTTATTTTTCGCGATTATATTATTTTGAGTGGTGTCGGCAGTGTGAGTGTCACTGTACCTCACGCGCCTCATTCCTGGAATAGAGTGAAGGTCAAAACTCACCCCTACTATTTTATATTTGTTAGTTTTGTTCAGTTTTGTAAGAGGCTGGAAGTAACTTCCGTGTGCGCTCTGCCGATTCTCGTACAGCCTGGAGGCAACTTCCGTGATGCGACCTCTAGTTTAGTGTGTTCGTTGATTATTGCGTGTAAACTATTACTGTAAATAATTATTTTTTTACGATTCATGTCATTATTTAGTAAATATATAGTTTTTACAAGATTACAGAAGAAGTTAAATTTCGAATTGCAACACTCTTAGCCATGCTGAAAGGGAGAATTCACGAACGACGTATGTACAGAGCCATTTAGTATTAAGATACCCATTATCTTAAATTACTTAAAACATCGTGTATTGAGAGTGTTATCAATTAAAACCACATTATAGGACATTGTGGTAAAATTTAAATTAACTTCTTGAATATATTCTTGTAAAAGATTTCTTCATATACTTTTATGTTAGAAAATTTGATAGAATAATAGTTTAATTTTATATTTATAAAATCTAAATTAAATTATTGTACAATTAAGAGTTCACTAAACGTATTTTTGATGTTTAAAATTAAAAATAAAACTTAATTTGTGTGCTAAAATAAAATTTTACTTCATAAATGTTTGTTTTTATTGACCCGGAAGTAACCTCCGGGTGCGCCCTCTTCCGTTTTAAAAACTAATGCGCCCTCTGAAAGGTTAATTTACAGACTTGTTGTATCTAAGCAATATATTATTATTACCGGTACCTATATATATATTCCTATCAAAACTCTCCTAAAGTCAAGAATCTATTTTAACAAGTTCTCTTCATTAGGTTATTGCTAGCCCACATGTAATTGTTGGCCTATCTAGATGACATGCATGAAGGGTGGGGAGAGAAAAAATTGGTAAAGGTTGAAGTTCATTGATAAGTGTACATATCAAGCACCAAGCCAATTAGGTGGAGCTGAGCTTTTGTTTTTGCATCGGTGTCGCGATCATGTTTATAGCATCTAAGTTCGCCATAAAAAATTTATATGATGTGAAAAACAACAGAGCCCTCGCCAAAGGGTGAAAAATAATATCTGCCCCGGGTGCTAAGATACTTTATGCCACTACCTATTATGCTTTTGAGTACCGAAAAATACTAAAGGAATGCTTTGTCTAGGATTACTAATTATGGTGTCTAGGCTATAACCATTGTATTTTGTGTTAAGAAGTTATTAATGTACTTATATAAGTTAAGTGTATACTTAGGCTAGATAACAAAAATTATGATTTAGCACTCATCTTCATGTCTACATTTTCCCGTTCTTTATATATCAATCATGCATATCATTTTGTCCACTTACCACTGTTTATGTAGGTATATTTTATGTAACCTAGGCCTATATTTACCTTCTTGTGAGTAACAGTGTAAGCGTAAATAGGCCTAGGCCTAGGCTAAGATAGATATGTTTTAAGTGTTAGCCTATAAGACATTTCTTTTATTTAATTTTAGTACGGTAAATTAAATGACATGTACACTGCTGATCAAGAAGATATTTACCATACGATAGTGTCTAGAATGTTAGATGTGAAAGCTAAGAAAGAGTAGATTATTAAGTTAATCAAAATTAGGGTAGCCCAGTTTAGATACTGGGCTGCACTTCAGTTTACGTCCTACACTCAATCGAATGGAAAATATCGTTACATAGATTATTCGATATATCGATTATTTCATTTGGAACTTGACCAACTTAACCAAACTTAATATATCGAATGAAATAACGGTAGGCCTAATCTATAAGTTATATTCATTCGAATGAGTGTATGACGTAAACTAAAGTGCAGCCAGATACTGTACCCTAGGCCCTTAGTCCAAGAAAATGATTTTTTTTAGTTAGTATCAAAGGTATTTACTAAAATAACTAACCTCAAAATGTTCTTCACAACGAAACTTCTTATAAATGGAAGAGACATTTTTCCAAGTGGTTCAAAGCAGAACAATTATGTTGGTTTTTTTAAATTGAATTAACTTACACAAGCATATAGCATAAAGAGGTGGTGATTGAGTCAATAAAGCTAAATTTTAGACAACAAAATAATATTTGATCAACATACTCAGAAGTCAGAATCAGGAATTTAATTTATCAGAATCAGAATCTGTTTTTTTTTCTTAGGTTAGGTTTGCTAGATAGAAGCTGGCTTTAATTGTTTACAAGCCGCTTTCAATTTAGAAGAATCGCAGACATGAGCCATTGGTTATAAGTCCAAATTGACATGTAACTTTTTTTGCATGTTAAATGCCACCTCTGCAGCAAAACTAATATATTAAACTGCAAACAAATATACTAAAAATAAACCAATTGTGTATAAATTGAAACCCCCAACTAATTCGGCAACCTGAAGATTGTATAGCTCTGCGCCCGGAGTCATTTTTGGAAACAAATCTTAAATTATTATCAGTACAGTAGTTGAAACACAACAACATAAGAGGCCCCTAAAGCAATAGGGAATAAGTGATATTTTGTAAAAAAATTAGATAACTGCATGGTTGAACTGGAAATGTATCATTCTATTTAGTAGTGATGGGTGCTAAGCCATCCAGTGCTGCTTTCTAGTGGCAAAATACATAACCCCCAAGCGAAACATGACAAATATAATGTTTGGTTGAAAATAAATCCAAGCATACTTGTACCCCAACTCTACTGTGTAAGTATTTTCCCTTTCTATCTGTCATACTTTTTAGAAGTAAAGGGGTCCAAGTGTGTCAGATAAACTTTGGTATAGATAACAATATATAGATATTTTCAATAATTTTGAATATTTTTTTCCTGCAACGAGTAAACAATCTGCCAATGATAATAGATGTGAAAATATCATTGCAATTACAATGAAGGCTCAACTTTGAACTCAATTTACTTAAAACTTAATTTTTGTCACTTATACCCCTTTGCTTTTAGGGGCTTCAACCAGTTAACCAGTGAAAGCAATACTACATTTTACAAAACGTTAAGGTTCCCAAGTGAAGGACTGGAAGAGACTTAAAAACATAATCAGTTTTTTGGCGATTTAGAAATTTGTTTCTTGTTTTTACATTTTTTTAGCTATTTAAAGTTTAGCCAAATAAATACATCTAATCATAAACAATACTCATCGTCCTCTAGTTATATAGTCATACAGTAAAGCGCATATCATTAAATTAACCCTGGCCGTCACTAGCGCCTAGAGTCACCAACAAGAGTAGATATAATAGGACAATATGACCCCACTTTCGGCGTTTTAGAGGCACTTTTAGGGCACTTTTTATAGGGGAAAAATGAGAAAAAAATGGAAGAGCTTTTTTTGGCCACTTTTTTTAAAGACCCAGCTCTCGACCTATACACCCCTATATAAATTTTCTACTTTTGTTAATACTAAAAATCACGTCTGGAATATGGCTCATTTTTTGGCCACTTTTTTAAAAGACCTGGATCTCGTCCAATACAAGCCTATATAAATGTTCAAACTCTATTAAAATTTCAAATCCACATCCATTCCCATGTATATTTTCAAAATCATGTGAGGTTTGTGCGTGAACTCGGGCATGCTTATGGCTATGCGTAAACTATGCCTGACTCAAATGAATGACTGTGAGTGTAACCTAATGACCCCAATCAAAACCAATTGTCAACATTCTCTGCCTGTCTGGCGCCAGTCTGTCTGGGGCAGGTTTAGACAATTGCCAAATATGTTTGATTGATTGACCTCAATTATTCAATTGTTCAATTTCAGTTTGTTCAATTTCCATTGTTAAGTTCTAAATTAATTTAGACAATTTTGTGGTATATAAGGGGGGCATTCTACGGAATCATCACTAACTCTTCCACCTGGATCTTCTTGTTATGGTAAGTCTTTGACATCTAAGCTAGACTAATGTAATATGTTGTCGCGTGTCGGGTCATGGGATCAATTGGTGATGTAATTGATGCTTGTAGGCTACTCATACTCTGTATTTCTTTTAACTTAGGAGTGTAGCTAATTTCCCGAGTCCATTTTTAAAAACTTAGCCGAATTGAGTCACTAAGGAACTTATAAAAATGTATATAAATCTATTTTTAAACACTTAGAGTATTTTGAACAGTCACTAAGGAACTTAAAATGTATATAAGTCTATTTTAAAAAACTTAGCCAAATTCACTCATGAGGGGGACTTTGAGTCAAAAGTTTGCACAAGTTATTATTTAAAAACTTAGCCAAACTTCACGCACTGGGGAACTTTGAGTCAAAATGTGTACAAGTTATTATTAAAAAACTTAGCCGAATTATACTCACTATATAATTTTGTCAAGTCCCTTTTAACATAGGTAACATAGTCTTCTCTATAACTAACACTCACTCTGTATATATGTAGACTCAGTATTCTGAATTGCTAAAAAGTATTTTTATTTAAGATTTTGGATTTAGTTTTGATTTAGAAAATTACAATTGCCAAATCTTATTGTATTAAATTGTTTTGAATATTAAAATTTAAAATTTTGATTTAAATTATTATTTCCCATTAATTGAAATTGTCTAAAATGTAATTTCCACCATATAGAACATGCTAACTTAGTTTTTTTAGTTACATGTCAACTGTGTGCTGCTTCTCTATCCAAAAAAGTAACTTATTTTGTTATTACTATTTTTAAGTGAGTCAAAAATATATACAAGTTATTTTTTAAAACTTAGCCAAATTCACTCACGGGGGAACTTTGAGTCAAAAGTTTGTACACGTTATTTTTTTAAAACTTAGCCAAATTTACTCACGGGGGGAACTTTGAGTCAAAAGTGTGCACAAGTTATTATTTAAAAACATAGCCAAATTTTATGCACCGGGGGACTTTGAGTCTAAAGTGTGTACAAGTTATTATTTAAAAACTTAGCTGAATTATACTATATAATTTTGTCAAGTCCCCTTTAAAATAGGTAACACTCACTCTGTATATATGTAGACTCAGCAATCTGAATTGCTAAAAAGTATTTTTTATTTAAGATTTTGGATTTAGTTTTGATTTAGAAAATTACAATTGCCAAATCTTATTGTATGAAATTGTTTTGAATATTAAAATATAAAATTCTAATTCAAATTATTATTTCTCATTAATTGAAATTGTCAAAATGGAATTTCTACTATATAGAAGATGCCAACCTATTTTTTAATTACATATATAAAAATGAAGACTACATGTCAACATTGTTTTGCATCGCTCTCCAAAAAAAGCAACCTGATTCGCCACTACAAGGTAATACATAAAATGAAGGTGAAACTGTGCAAAGTTTGTGATATAATCTGTGATAATAACATGGCTCTAAAATCTCATATATTACAAACTCATAAGACTTGTAATTTCTGTAAAAGAAATGTTGTTGGTCATTTTAAAAGACACATCAATTCTTGTAACAAATGTCCATATACAATGATTAAATTTGTTGGTGAATCGATTAAAACTGAACTTAAAAGTACTCTTCAGTCTTGTCCTCTACCGATAAAATGGACTTTAGTAAGGAGAATCAAATTTATAAAATATACAATAGATCAAAATGGAAAATTAGTTAATGAGAAAGAATGTATTGCAGATTTTAGAAGCCTTACTACCTTAACCATTGAGAAGAGAGATTTAAAGCCTCAAATTGAAAATGCTCTTTTAAAGATTGATGCTTCCATACACAAATATCAAGCCGAAGGCAGTGGATGGATTTATGACCATACTAAATATTGGCAGTTGCACGTTTACAAGTATAAGCCCCTAACTCCAAAGTCATATATCCCCACACCAAAAAGTATTAAATTGACAAAAGCAGTTTTAAATATAAAGAATGCTGATAATAAATGCTTCCTTTGGTCAATTTTAGCAGCTTTACATCCAAGGAATGCTAAACATGCTGAAAGGGTATCGAAATATGCACCCTATGAAAATCAGTTAAATATGACAAACATAAAGTATCCTGTTAAAATATCTGATATAGATAAATTTGAAAGACAAAATAATATAAGTGTTAATGTATTTGGAGTTGAAGACCAAAAATTTATATATCCATTAAGAAGAACCAAACTGAATAGTAATGCTCACATAGATCTATTATTATTACTACAAGGTCGTAAATCACATTACTGTTTAATTCGTGATTTTGATAGGTTAATGCTACGGTCTACGAAACAAGACCACAAGAAGTATTTTTGCAAGTTTTGTTTACAACATTTTTACACCAAAGATAAATTAGAATGTCATATAACATATTGTAAGAACTTTGATGCACAAAGAGTGGAAATGTCTAAACAAGATACATTACAATTTAAAAATTATAAATATCAACTTAAAGCCCCATTTGTGATTTATGCTGATTTTGAGTGCTTTATAAACTCCAATATACATATTCCATCGGGATTTGCATTTGTCGTAGTAAAAGATTCTAAGATTATTTCTGAAGAGTTATATAGTGGTGCAAATGTTATGGATGTGTTTTTTGAAAGATTATTTGAGACTTATGATTTTATTAAAAGTCAAATGGCGATATATATTCCCCTTGTAATGACTCCTGAGCAAGAGGCATCTTTCCAAAACTCAACACATTGTCATATTTGTGAAAAGCCTCTATATTTTGATAGGGTACGAGAACATTGTCATTCAAATGGTCAATACCGTGGAGCTGCCCACAATGATTGTAATTTAAACTATAAAGTAACAAAGAAAATACCAGTATTCTTCCATAACTTGAAAAATTACGATGGACATTTAATAATGCAACACTTGGGAAAATATAATCGTAAATTAAATTGCATAGCCAAAGATATGGAAAAGTACATTTCATTCTCTGTTGATGATTTAGTATTTTTAGATTCCTATAACTTTCTGTCCCTTCCATTATACAAATTAGCTTCCAATTTAAATACATTTAGATTTATAGACAATCCACTACTACAACGCAAAGGCGTATTTCCCTATGAATATATGACAGGACCAGATAAGTTTGCAGAGTCTCTACCTCCAATTGAAAAATTTTACAGTACTTTAACTAAAGAACATATCTCTCCCATCGAATATGAACATGCAAAACATATCTGGACCCATTTTAATATACATAATTTACAAGAATATCATGATTTATATCTT